CTAAATAGGGAATAACAGAACAGAAGCCTTCTCAGATTTACGACGATTATTCAAACAGCAAAAACTATTAAAGTCAACGTGGCTTAGTGGAAGGCACATTAAGAGGCAAATCAGGACACAGAGTCAGGTGGGCAGTACTGTCCCTGACACCTCATGGGAAGAGAATTCGTATTTATTGCCTCCTTGGTCCTCCACCTCATCCAGTTCTGACAAGCTATTCATTTGTGTCTCCATTTTAAAATGCTTCATTACCTGGAAATATTTCACCTTCCTGAAATCAGGATTCACACTCAGAATTTTCCTGCTGGTCCTAAGATCTAAACCCTGCAACTCTTGGCTCCTTGAAGCTGAAAGCACCTGCCACAAGGAAATAATCCCAAAGAGATTATCACATGAAGAAGCCTTTGACTCCAGTGTCCGTGCTCTCCCAAGCTGACAGGAAGGAGGCTGACAGCAAGTTGGCCTGTATTTTTTTATGCCCATCAATAAACTATATTTAACATGTAAATGCATTACAGGGGTCTCTTATACAACCTAGAAGATTTATTATTTTGGGAAAAACTTGGGAGATTTTCCTTTTAAGCTTTATTTTAAGATACGTAATAGTCATCACTCAAGCCAGTTTTTCTAAGACTTCATTACAGGGGAAAGCCTCTGGCATACATTTCCAATACAGTATTCATTTCATGTGGCAGATCTTTTTCTAGTAGTGCCAACAGAAAGGAGAGAAAATACACAAAACAAGAGAATGGAGGCAAAGCTCCCTGCGTGGTACCTGACTCAGGAGTGGCTCAGTCTTTTTCTCTCTCTTTGCTAACATCAAGAGGGTCTAATAAAATTATTTAGTATTAGAAAACTTAGGAAGACATTAAACTGGCTTTGCAAAATTTTTAACTCTCTTTGTCTGCCCGAGTTTTCTCCCATCCACTTACACCTCAGGGTAAACTCTGACTTTCAAGTGCACAGGCTTGGCTGCTTTCAAAGCTGTATTATGGAACGCCTGATATGCAAGATGAACTCTTGGATTCAAAGAACCATGAAGAATCTTTCTCTAGACTTTATTGTTGTTGTTTGCCAGCTTTAAATCTTAATGCTGTGGCATCTTACAATTCATTGAATTAAATATGAGAAGAGGGGGTTAGGGCATAGTGAATATGCAGAAGACTTCTGACTACTGAATGGATTTATACCACCCAGGATTTATGCTGTCCCTCTGCTGGTGCCAGGTAAAGGTAGCAACACCCAGTATCACCATTATTGACCCCCTTAGCTAACCACCAAGCTCACTAGTGCCATATTTATTTACTTTGGCTGCCAAAATATAACAGTCCAGCACCACTATAATTTAAAACGAGCAAAGAGAGATAATGCTCACTTTATGAAATAAAGTTAAAATTTAATGAAACAAAGTCAGATCTTGATAGGTGTGTTAAGTGGGAGATAGAAAACAATCAGCAGCAAACAAAGGGTACAGAGATAATTATGTAAAATCAAAAAAGAGATACTGGGCTAGGCACAGTGGCTCATGCTATAATCCCAGCACTTTGGGAGGGCGAGATGGGTGGATCACCTAAGGTCAGGAGTTTGAAGCCAGCCTGGCCAACATGGCTAATCCCCGTCTCTACTAAAAATACAAAAATTAGCTGGGCGTGGTGGGGGCACCCATTATCCTAGCTACTCGGGAGGCTGAGGCACAAGAATTGCTCGAACCCAGGAAGTGGAGGCTGCAGTGAGCCTAGATCATATCACTGCACTCCAGCTTGGGCAAAAGAGCAAGACTCTGTCTCAAAAAAAAAAAAAAAAAAAAAAAAAAAAAAAAAAAAAAAAAAAAAAAAATAGGCACCAACTTGCATAGAAAGTTGGCAAATATTTGAAGTGGTGGTAGTTACCATGAAATAAAAAGAATAAAATATCTGAAGATGCTAATTAGAAATGAAGAAAAAAGAGAATGAGAGAAGAGGGAGTTTTGCCAATTTGCCTATGTGTCTCCTAATCAAATAATGAGGAGTAAGAAAAAAGGATTAAAATTTGAATTTAAAGGCATATTTTTCCCCTGAGAAAGATTATGTAATGGGATATGAAGTCACTTCAAAAGAAGCCTATGATGTGTTCCTTCTCACAAAAAAGGAAGCAAATTATTCCCTCCAAGTACAACTGAATCAAATTTGCACTTCCTGTAAATGTATCAGTCGATAAACCAGGATTTAAGTTCAAGGATACATTCCATGCCTAATCTTCATTTTACAGCTATTGGAGATAAAATTTCCTTAGCGCTAAAATCTTTCAAAGATAGTCTTTCTTGCAAAACAAATTGTTAGAAGTGTGCAGCAAATTGGCCAGATGCCTCTGGGGCATAACTGTTTCTTAAAAGTCAGGTAAGAACTATTAGAAATGATCTCATACTTTCAAATCACTAGTTTTCTGTTTTGTGCTTTGGAACAGAAATGGTCAGCGTACCAAAAGGGTTAATACAGCTTCTCAAAAGTGCTTCTCTTCTCACAGAATATAGTTTATATTTTGGGAGAATTTGGCACAGCTTAAGTTACAGCTTAACTGCTGTGCTCAGAAGAATGCAACAAGAAGCCATTTCCCCCACCCAGTTGCCCCTAAGTGTTTATTATCAGGGATAGACACAAAATTGTAAAAGAAAAAAATATTTTTCATATGAATATTCTTTCTCCAAGGCTTCATATCAAGATACGTAAGCGACAGCATTCTTCACATCTTGCCATCCTTTACAGAATTTTAGAAACACTCCAAAATTTATTATCAGCCCACTAGCCTTTCTCGGCCTAAATGTCTCACTGCAAGATAAATGGACAGGGGACTTAATTATTGCTTATATGGCTATTTTAAAAATTGCTAAGCATAAAAATCAGCCTGTGACATGAGACTAATTTTGCACTCTTCCAGAAATTGGTACGTTTCAGTTCTCAACATTGAAAAATACATAGACAACAGAAATCTTTTCAGTGGTATGTATTACTATGATTGTTACCATCTCCTCAAACAACCTGAGCAGTCAATTAACTAAGATATAACAGAGAACCAGAGCCAAAAAAAAAAGTGACTCCAATAAGAAAAATCACAGCTTAATAGCCCGATATGTAGTAAAGCCATAGTTTGGATTTGTAATTATTATCACATTCTAGAGCCCAAATTAATTATTTGTAGTTATTTTGAAGATATTTCAGTAGCTACACACACACACATATTTCGCAAAGTATTGGCCAATGCCCATTTTCACATAGTTCTTTAGTCTAAAAATAACTGTAACTTTCGTGTCTTACCAAGACTGAGAAAAGAGAGAGCAAATCAAAGGAAACTAGTCAGGGAATAAGCAGAGAAATTTTTAACAGGCCTGCTGGGTATTCTCTTATGGCTGTCTTGAGCCTCGGATTAAATTATTTTCTGTATTGTAGTACTGGGTCACTTGTACATGAAGACAAAGGCAACTTCAACTTGATATTTCTGTCATCCTTGCTGTGGGAAGAGTCCTTTTCCTGGTTTATAACATCAATCACTCTCGCAATAAATCTTAGGATAGATGTGGTCATTTAAATCTCCACCTGCACAAACAACAGAAAATAAGAGAGGTCATAAATCTCTACACTGGTGATTAACAAATTTTGGATCCTCAGCGAAGATATTATGGAAGAAGGGTCACTAATTCATTAATAAAGACTGATTTGCTGACAACCTGTTTAGTTTACAGCATAGGGGGAAAGCAAACAAGACCCTGCTAGCAAAACAAAACGTTAGAGCTTAGTGAATTCCCAGCTGAGCCTAGGATTAGAGACATGATATCTTAATGCAGGAGAAGTCTTCAGACCCTGAGCCAACCACTCAGAAACCACTCTTACATTTTGCTCCAGCCCCTCATCTTCAACGCCTACCTGCAAGGAAAGAAAACCTGTCAAAGAAATAGTAAGTGAGATTTATGTCTTCAGTCTCCCTGGTTTCATTGCATCAATTTCATCCAGTCCCTAGGTTCTGGTTCCTCGTGCTTTTCTGCCTACTTCCCAGAAGACTTCCTTATTCTCTAGGAAAGATGGTTAGAGCTGGGGTTAAAGATGGTTAAGAACCCTTCCCAAAAGGATAATCTTGCTTTGTGTTTTATATTGTCAGCTTCATGTGAGGAGCTCTGGTAGCAAAGAGGATGGAAGAAGTAAAGGCAGCAGCATAGGGAGGGAGGTCGCATCACAAAAAGGGCCAGGCAAGGTGATTTCTGAGAGCAACTAAGACTCCTAAAGCAATATTAAATGCATTTCTAGAAAAAAAAAATGAAGGGAAAGTTTTCGTTTATTTGGAAAAGATGATCAACTAACAAAATGTTTTCTACACATTCACTCATATTGCCCTATCTCCTTCCCTACCCACTCCCGCTAATCTGTGTGTGGTTGGGTTTGAGTGTGCAAATCAAGTATGTTTGTGTACACGTAGGCAGTTCTTTGATGTCTTGAAAATGACCAGGTGTAGATGAAATTTTTTATACTTACTTTTCCATCACTGTAGAGATTCTATGAAGCGCTTGTCTTCTTCATTGATCCCGGGAAAGGTGGAAGGAGATCTTGGTAAAGCCTTGGAGTCTTATGAGGTGTTTGCAGGGTGTGATTGATACTCCCTGTGTTTTAATTATTTTTTTCTTGGGAAGAGAGAGCGCATGGAGTGCTTGTGAAATTCGTAGGTGGAAGGCCCAGAAAGAGCCGAAGGATCTGTTCGTTTTTCTAAAGTTCTTAGTAACAATCAGTTGTGACATCTTAAGAGTGAAAGAAGACCTTTTAGAGATGAATAGGACCTGCGCCTCTTCGCCCCGGCCAAAGCCAGGAGAAGGTGGCCAGTAAGTGTGTGACGCAGCTGAGTTGATTTACATTACAAATTGCAAATCTGGGTCTGTGAGTGAGTTTCCCTCTGGTTGTTAAAGGGGTCTAAGCGCTTTCCTGGGGCCTGGCAGGCCCCTCCCCTGGGCTGCAAGGATCCGCCCCTCTATTCCCCAGATAAATTCCTAGTGTCCACCAAATTCCTCAGCGCTCGCTCACACTCCTCTACGGCCACGACTCCAGGAGTGGGGAAACAGAGAGCCGGTTCCTCTGCGGCAGAAGCCCTCGAGGTTCCTTCTTACAAGTCTGCGAAGGGGAAAGGGCCGTAAGACTCAACCAGACCCCAACCCCAGCTCCCAACAGGAGGTGGCTGCTCCACACGCGGGAGGCCCCTTCGTTTCAGGGTGTCTCTCTCTCTCTCTCCCCTCTCTCTCTCTCTCTCTCTCTCTCTCTCTCTCTCTCTGTCTCTCTCTCTCTCTCTCTCTCTCTCTCTCCCCCCTACTCCCCCAAACATGTCCACCGGCTCCCTCAGCGATGTGGAGGACCTTCAAGAGGTGGAGATGTTGGAATGTGAAGGGCTGAAAATGGACTCGAACAAGGAGTTTGTGACTTCCAACGAGAGCACCGAGGAGAGCTCCAACTGCGAAAACGGATCTCCCCAAAAGGGCCGGGGCGGCCTGGGCAAGAGGAGGAAGACGCCCACCAAGAAGAGCCCCCTGAGTGGGGTCAGCCAGGAGGGGAAGCAGGTCCAGCGCAACGCGGCCAACGCGCGGGAGAGGGCCCGCATGAGGGTGCTCAGCAAGGCCTTCTCCAGGCTCAAGACTACTCTACCCTGGGTGCCCCCAGACACCAAGCTCTCCAAGCTGGACACGCTCAGGCTGGCGTCCAGCTACATCGCCCACTTGAGGCAGATCCTGGCTAACGACAAGTACGAGAACGGGTACATCCACCCGGTCAACCTGGTGAGTGCTCCTGGGACTGCAGCCTCAGCCCGGGCGTGCCTGCAGTCCCGCCTGCGGTGGGCGCTGGGAGTGGGGCTGCAGGCGCGGCGGTGGCTTACACACCTCGGCCACCGCGGGCCTAGAGCCTCCAGGGACCGGAGGCGGGCGGTCTAGACAAGGCCCTCGCTCTTGGCCCTACCAGCCCCCGGAGCGGGAGTGATTTATGCGAGGGTTTGACGTGGCAGCCCAATTAAAGGTTTGCAAGAGTATTGAGCTGGCACAGAGGAGGGATCCCCCGCGCCCTCTCCATCGCCACCCTCGCTGGGGTGGAGTGGCTGCTAAGAAACTGAGAAACTGACAAGACACTGCGCGCCCAGGAGGCATTTTATTAATCCCTTTATTCTTCTTTTAGCTGAGAGTGGAACTTGATTTTGCTTTCCTTGTAAATAAACAGGACCGTTAGATAAGGACACATACATCCCTCCCCCCCAAATTGTCCATGTAAGCCCCCAACTACTTATTCTGTACTTCTCCTAAGTGGATTAATATTTTTAAATCCTAGAAGCTCTAGTAATTATCAGCAAAATCAGTAAATTCTCACTAGTATGAGTGTAATAAATACTAAAATAGATCACTCTCATCCAAGATTTAAGAAATGTTACCTTTTATCTTAAAAAGTAATGCCCATTGAGCCCAACTTTTTTAATACAACAAAACTAATAATCATTGATTCTTCTCTCAAATGCATTTTACTGTTTAAGAAACATATTTTAATTCCTTGTTCATTGGATTTTATTTTAAAACTTCTAAGATCTAAAGAAAAACAATAACAAAAACTTACTAGGACCTCTGTTTGTATATGATAAGAACGAGAGATTTTCCTCTTAAAAGGCAAGTCTTATCAGCCAGCACTAGAGCACTAGTGAGAGAGGCCTGAATTGTCTTCTCACTGAACTGATTTCTGGAATTTCAGGAGAAGAGACAAAACCATATTTTGCCATGAAAAATGGTTTTTCCCTACAATTGAAAGTTTGGGATTTTTTTTTTTCAATGAGTAAATAGCTTTTGTAAAATCTGCACCTAAAATGAAAGTGTTGCCTAGAATATTTACAATTGCTACTCTCCTCAATTTTGAATAAGAAACTTAAATGAGCTTTATTATAAAACAGCTTGGAGAAAGGAAGAAAAAGCATGCTTTCTCAGTCCCGCATGAAGACAATCTTAAATTAAAAGTCGATGTCTTTTTATTAGCTTTTTTTATTTCCTTTTCCTTAAGAGATGGTGGTTAATTTAGAAGCTGTAGTCAAAACCAGTGTTTGCGGTGAAGGAAGCGAAAGTCGGGGCCAGGGAAATAGAAGGCGATGAAAGGCTAGAAAATCGACAGGGCCCTGAAACCCGACCCCGCCTCAGAAGAGGGGCCAGGAAGGGCTTCGCCCCGAACTCGGTGCCCAGCAGGCACAAGATCCTTCTGGGCTTCCCGGCTCAGGCTGCCGCAGCGTCTGCCTCCAGGCAGTGCCACAGCACCACTCACTCTCGGCCTGCCCAAGGCTTCCTGCACTGGGTCTCGCAAGGAACCCAGTATGAGCCCTTCTGGCTCTTGTTCTAAAAGACCACCACCACCACCTTCTCGAGCTGTGACTTGGCGACAGGGCGGCTTTTTGCTTTACCCAGTCGGGGGCCGCGCTAGGACGGGGAGGAAACAGCAGAGATAAAGGGTCTCTCCAGCGCACCGCGTCCCCTCCTTTCATCTCTGGCTCCGAGCCCACCCCACCTCCTCCGCCACCGCCACTTACCTCCTCCACCCTCTTCTTTCCCGCAGACGTGGCCCTTTATGGTGGCCGGGAAACCTGAGAGTGACCTGAAAGAAGTGGTAACCGCGAGCCGCTTGTGTGGAACCACCGCGTCCTGACCTTGGAGGTGCGAGTCTGGGAAAGGCACGCTCCCGGGGGGGAGCGGGCCCCGCCGGGAAGGCGACCCCTGCCCTCCTTGCTCTCTGTCTCTGCTTCCCCCTCGCAACGCTCCTCTCTCTGTCCCACCCGCGAGAACACTTTACGCCGACGAGGAGATTCGTTTCCAAACCAGAGGAGATCAATTGTACTTACAAAGATTCCCATCTATTTAACTTTATTAACTTCTACCGTGAATGACTCTGCAAGCCTTGCTGGTCCAAGTGCAATATGTAATTATAAATATATAAATAGATAAGAGCTTATCAACGTATCTTTTGTACAATATGTTGTAAAATGTAGATCATAGAATAGCTGACTTTGACAGTCACATTTATAAAGTAAGTCACTTAAAGATATATATTTTTTTCAAACAAGTTTTGCTACTTTTGAAAATAAATCTTTCTCTATATTGCTAAAAGCTCTGACATTTGGTGTGATTTTTAAAAGCATTTGGAATAGAAACCTGGGAAACTGCGGGGAAGCTTGATAATGAAAATCGTTCTTTTAAACCTCAGTCTAAACTTCGAGAGACAAAAGAAAATTGAATATGAGTTTCATAATGAAGATGCAGATTACGTTTTATACTGAAACCTTAAAAAAGAAATATTTCAGTTACTTTTAAGGCCAATAGAAATTATATAACTGCAAACAAAGAATGGGCAGTATTAAAGTTATTCACAGTTAAACAGTTCAAGAGTAAAAACGCACCAGAAAAAGGAAATCCAATTTTCACGGATTCCACAGTACGGCTGCTGACATGGGCGAGAAAGTAGACTCCACCTTGTGTCACCTTCCAGGAGGTGTGGGCATGGCTGCAAACTAGTGAAGAAATCACAGAATCTATGAAAGATGTAAATTCCATACCCCTTAGGATGTGTTTCACGATTTTTAAAGCTCTGAAGCATACAATATCTACATTTCTTATTAATAATCCATTAATTAATTCTAATGATAAACCTGTATGCCTGCATTTTGGTTGCAGTTAGCGGGTGCGTTTAACTCCCGCCAAGACTTCCGGCGGACTGGGTTTAATTTAAACATTTTCCAGGCTACGGAACAGCTCCTAGGGGAAGATTAAGTTGAGATAAACAGAGAAGCAAGGCCGAGGAGCCTGGGACCGGGCTCCCTCACTGCCCCAGCGCAGCCCGCGGCGGCGGCCGATGCGCCAGATGCCACCGGGGCTGTTTAATGTTCGGGGTTATGACCGCAGTGTTTACAAGACGTCTTCGGTTATTTATACTGTTATTCCTCGCAGAGAGCCTTGAAACTTCCGCTTCATTTGCTCTTTCTTTTCGATTTTTTCCCCTTTTTTTTCGGCTTCGTTTGGTACCTGGAGCAAGCGCTTCTCCGGCCTCCCACCAACCCCACAGGGCGCCTCGCGGGTGGAGCCCTCTGCGTGCCCTTGGAGGAAGGATCCCGCGAGGCTGGTCCCAACTGGAGAGCTGCTCTGCCAGGTATGCTCTCTGTCAGTGATAGTGACCTCATTACCAAGCACAATTCCCCATTCTCCAAGGGCTGAGAACTTTGGTGACCTCATCCACCTGTCCATTTGCACATGGAGAACTTTTCAAGATGTCAGGATACCTTTCCATCACCCCAACTTGACTTTCAAGAACATTTCAAGCTCTGGTCAGAGCCTCTTTCCTCAAATTCATGTGTTCTGTCCTTTCTAGCAAAGGGATAGAGCCCAAGCCTCAACCTATCCAGAGTTCAAATCAAAGAGCCCCCAGTATGATTCAATTGTTTGACTTCCACCTTTCGCAAATTTTCCAATCTCCCACTGACGTTTTTACAAACGAAATGCTCTAAATTCTGAGCATTCCAAACAGGCCGTCCATAAAGAAATAACTTTTTCTTGCTAATTCTCTTACAACCCCAATCTACACATGGATTTTTGAAAGTCTTCATGGCTATCTACAGTTCCTTACCTATAATTTGAAGCCTTTGCTCTAGGCAGGAGGTATGGGGCTATGAATAGGAAACACGTAGACTTGACCCTGGTTCTGCATCCAGCTAGCTGTTTCTTTCAGAAGGCTGGATCCTCAGTTTTCCCATCTCTGCAAGCAGGGATAAAGGTGATGAGAATGATAATAATCATTATATGCAGACCTTCCTCTTCCATCTTAGAAAGGCTTAGTGGGGCTCAAATGAGATCATATCTGCAAAATCCCTTGGTAAAGGAAAGGCTCCATGCAAATGTCAGTTACTTTTACCAAGTGGCAGGTAGTGAACTATCTGTGCCTAGACCCAAACTGGAAGTGTCTCAGGCAGGAAGCTCAAAAGGGTATATGTTTATATCGTGCAGGAAATGTTTTTTTTTATTGTTGTTGTTGTTGTTGTTGTTTTGTTTTTTGGGATTTTTTTTGCATGAACTAAAATATCTCTTTTGAGTGTCTATTGATTCTTTCTCTCTCTTTCTGTCTCTCACCTTGCACCTCTCCCCAATGTTCTGTAAGTTTGTCCAGAGCTTTTTACCATTGTGACTTTTTCCTAGAAATCCAAAAAAATTCAGAGAGCAAAGTCAGGGCTTGGCGCCTACAGATAGCATGACACTGGTGTCTAGTGACAAGGCTGCCCAGTCCCATCAGGAGCCTCAGCCAAGGAGGGGTCTGGACACTTGGGTCCCCATAGTTGTCCACTGAATGGAGTGAGGATCAAGGTGGGAATGACTGGGTGGTGGCTGCCACTAGCCGAGGAACATGACAACGTGACCACACCACACATGCTTCCAACATACACCTACAGTCTAAACATCTCTCCTTCTCTGTGGGCCCTTCACCCATGCCAGATCACTAGCCCACCCACACCCACCACAGGTCTCTCTCCTCTGGTCTTCCCAGAAGGATAAAACTCCCAGTCTACCCTGCTCTGGGTAGTTGGTGTGTCTCTATTTGAATAAGGGGTGAGCAGCTACATAGAAAGACTGGGGGACTCCCTTGGCCTCCAGCCAGCATAGTTTGGAGGTTGGGGAAGTGTTAAGGGTGGGGAATATCCTGCTTGTGACCTCTAGGTTATGAAAACTATCATAGAAGGTGCTTTTAGAAAGAACCAGGAGAACAACCAAAGCCACTTACAGACGCCTGAACCGAGAATGAAGTGTTTCAAGTAAGCGAGTCTGCAAGTTCTCAGAAGCAGACAGATATCCAATCTGGACTGCAGCCAGGGAAGTCCTCTCTCTCTTTCTCTCTCTCTCTCTCTCATTGCTTATGTGACTTTACAAGCAACTCAGTATCCTTCTAGCAGGCTTTCCCACTGTCAAACAGAGACTTCATTCTAAAAAGAGAAGTGATAAACAGCTCCAGCACCCGCTGACTCTATATATTTACTGATTAGTAGAAAACACTGACCAAGGAGATTTTTAAGCCAGTGGTTCTTCAGAATCACCTGGACACCTCCACCCTCCAGAGATCCTGAGTCCAAGAGTCTGAGGTGGGGCCCAGAACTGGTATTTCTAACAAGTTTTCAGGTGATGCCAATGCTGCTGGTCCTAGGACAACATTTTAACAATCAGTGTTTTCAGATGTCTCATGAGGGACACTAACTAATGCAGTGGGAAAGAAAATATTGCAGAGGGGAATTTTTTTCCTAAAAAAAGCTGCATGTTCTGGGCTCCAATTTAGTTTAATTTTCTATTCACTCCAGGATTAGAATTAATTCCCAATTCTTAAATGCCATTCAGTCTGGACTTCAAATCACTTTTCTTCAGAAAATAAAAGATTTGTTCCAGCGGGGTCTGTGGACATGGATGCGCTCATCCTGTGTTCTCAGACAGATTTGAGTCATTAGATGATGTTTTTAAGTCCCGAGTGGATTAAAGCCAGGCTGCTGTTGGCTCCGCTGCGACCTCTAAGGGAGAGAGAAATCTAGGCGCCCTGGAATCACGTCCCCTGCAAGAGAGTCCCTTGGTCCAGCCTCAGGCCAGAAAAGATCTCCCCATCACTCCAGTGGGAGCAGTTGGCTTGGCTTTGCTCTGGTCCGGCACTGCTTGGGTCGGGAAGTCGGCCTGGAGTTGGGGTTACAAGGACGCCGGGGCTGGTGGCGAGAGCAGCAGGAGTGCAAGCGGAGCTCGCGGCCAGCGGGGAGCTGCGCGCAAAGGCGGAGGAGGGAAGCAGCCTGCTAGGCTTCCCTGCCTGGGAGAAGAGCTTTTGGAAGTAGGCGGGAGGAGGAAGGAGTTCTGAGCCCCAGCCAGCGCAGCCTCCTTTCCGTTCCTTTCCGGGTGCAATCTCCGGGCCAGCGAGTGCGTGTCCAGCTGTGGATCCGCCGGCTCAGGGATGAGGCGCAGGGCAGGTTCTGCTGCGAGCGGGGCACAGTTGGCCTGCCAACATCCTTTCTTAGCTTTGCATCTTTCACTCCGAATGCTGGCTCTGCCCTAGGAAACTCGCTGGGTGCCAGCAGCATTCTTCAGAGTTCGCCCGGCTTCCTCCAGGCGTCTGGGAGGGACACGCCTTTGGTCTTTGGGTCAGGACAGGCTCCGCGGGCCCACACTCTTTCCAGTTCACCGAAAGATTAACCACCTCCAAGGACTATTTAAGAACCCCTCCCAGGGCCGAGCGGGGAGAAACGGTGGGAAAAGGAAAAGAGAGCTTCCATTTAGAATGCCCTAGAGTGATGAGAACAGACTTCTCAAAAATGTCAGGCGGTCTTTTGCACCCAGCACTCAGTGTAGTGCCTGACGCCTCAATAAATGTTGAATCATGAATGAATCATTAACTCTTTGAGGCTATAAAATAGATAAGATAGAGACTAGTGAGGCAAGATTACAATGGGGCTGTTGCTGTGGTTAAATTGAACTTGAACTTGAACCTCTTACCTTGAAGTCTGGATGCACATTTGGTGAAAGAATAAAGTAAATAGATATGATGGGACTGGGTGAAATCAGGTGGCAGTGGGATGTTTGCAGCACTCACAAAATATGTTCTCTCCTTTTCCAGTAAAATATGTTACTAGACGTTAATTTACAAGGGCCGTGCACTGGAATCATTAGATTAAAAGGTGCTTTAATAATGAAAACAATTTGAGACACTTAAGCAGATCACATGACCTTATTTTAAAGTTAATGCAGTTGGTGATGAGGGAGTAATGTATTGCTCTTCACAGATGTAAGTGAGATCCTGGTATAGTGGAAAGAGCTTTTGACTGTGTCCTTGGACAAGATACTAGACCTTTCAGGAGCTTGCTTCTTCCATCTCTAAAATGGGTATTATAATGGGATAATGTGTAATTGAACAATGCCTGGATCCTAATGGACGCTAATTAATATTGGTCCCCCCACCTTCGTCTGGTTACTGTTACAAGAGTGCCTGAAAGGATGATATGCATTTCCCCTAGTTATCTAGACAATAGTAAACAATTATTTAATTTTTATAATCCAATAGCATCAAATCACCTTGAGCGTGATTAAAACAGATTATCATTCAGATCTCTT